AAGAAGAAAATTTTTTCTTTTAACACTTCGAGTTCCGGGAATTTGGGGAGTTACATATTGCCATTGATATATAATTATAATTTTAACCAGAAAGTAAAAAATAAAAACATACAGCAGATCTTCTGTGTGCATTGGACAGGATGTGGGGGGAAAACTCTATGAAATCAATAAGAACAGATGGCATACAAAATTAAAATTAGAATGCATATGTTTAAGATGCTATCACTCCCATATTTCCACTCCACTGAGCAATTTGACATCCATAGGTAATACTCCAATAGATGAAGGCATGAAAGCGGACTTAAACCAAAAGAAGAAAAACAATATCCCAGAAAGTGGACCCAAGTACACTAGCAAGTTTCAACTTCCAGACTAATGATTATTGCCAAGTTAGCAGTTCAGTGTACAAACTGGTGAGACAAAGCAATTGAGTAAGAAGTAGAGAGGCTAGTCATTAAATGACGAATAGTAAAGAGGTGGACAGGGAGTATGCAGGAGAAGCTTCAGGCCCAGACAACCTTTGGATAGTGAAGAAAGACCCTGAGGCATTTTTCCCCTTTCTAGACAGGTTTAAAATGCTTTGTCACTAGCTATTTATCTTAGCAATTGACCATTGAGAAACATCAAGTAAAACAGCATGGATTTTGGTAACAAAGTGAAGGATTAGCAGCCTCAATTTTTTTTTTGAGAAGAAAATGAATATGTTGGCGAGTCGCTTGGGATGTCTCGTTCTCCTTTTCTTTCCATCCCTTTTAATCCCCTCTATTTTTGTTTAGTTCTTTTTTGAATGCCTTCTCACTTTCTAATCACCATTAACACTCTAATTTACATAAGAATCTCTGCATAAAAATAAAGAAAAAAGGGTATGTGGGTCGCACCTGGCATTCATTGCATGCATGCAATAATACAATAATCTCAAATGGTCTTGCCTAGTAATTATTTACAATTAAGAATGGTGAAGAATTTCTTTTATAGTTTATTACTTGCCCCTTGCAATTTTGTTATTTTAACTTTAATCATTCCCGAAAGATGTTTTCTTATAATACCGCAATCTGTTGTCCATGTTGCATCTTTTAAGCTCACAAGTATTTAAATATCACAAAAGAGAAAATTGGAACTTACTTATGGCATTAGTTTCTTTGGGATCACTTTCCTCCTCGTTAAAATGATCGATGCCTTGTTTTTTGTCAGACAAATCCCTGATAGCACCAGAGTTCTCTTCATCGTCAACATTGCATTTTTCTTCTCCAGAAGCCTGTTCAGTAGTTTCACGACCACATTCCTTCATAGCATTTATAATATATTATCGAACACACTAGTCAACCCATTAAAGGAATGAGAAAAGCATCCAAACATTAAAAACACCATGTACCATTCTTTCAAGAGACTTGACTTCTTAAGCATAACTGAGCATGTACTCACTGAGTTCAAACTTCAAAGCCACTCGAGAAGGCTGGTACTAGTTTATCTCTCTTTTTGTGGGTTTCAAGATTCTCATTCTAATAACATTCTGGATAGTAAAGTAGTTATTGTGTTGATAATGAATATTAGATAAGATGTGATCGTCTTCAGGGTTGAAGCCAAGATTATAAAGGTCATATTTATCACACCCATACCATTATCTAGAGCAACTATGATAACCCTGACATAGAGATTATGCAACAGTTCACAAAATCATTTTTCTCAATTAAAGGTATTGACCATTGATGAAAAAACATGTAAGGTTAAAAGTCTATGTTATGTGATAGAAATGATTTAACTACAAAGAATATAAAAGATCATAAATTTCATCACTAGTCCCTCAAGAAAGCTTAAATTGAAACATCCACCATTAAAATATCTCAAAAACAAAAGCAAGGGTAGGTTGACATAGAAGACTACTTGAACATTATTCGAGGTATTCTAAAGAAGAATTCACATAAAGACAGATGATGCAATGTACTTAGCAAAAAATAGTATGCATAAAACCCCTATAATGATATATTATCGTGTTTGTTATTTTCCAAAAGCAGTCACTCCATCTTGTAGAAATTATAACCCGTATATGCAAATATATTATTTTGTATAAGTGGTCGCTCCAGCTTGTAGGCAAAATGATGTGGACATCACGATTTATGTTATTGTTCATTTTTATTAATTACGTTTTTTATTATTATTGGGTTTATAGTAGTGGGTTGGCACAAACCTTCCACTAGTAGGTTAGGTTTTTTTTACTATTTATTGGATTTTTCATTGTAGTTGAATTAGACGATGATTATATGAAATAAAAAAAGGGTTTTGGCTTACAGCCAGTGATTTTCCCTTTCCGTGATTTTCTCCCCTTCCCTGCTTCTTCTCCGGTTCTCCCCCTTTCTCTCCGGTTTCTTCCCCATTTCTTGCTGCATTCTCCTATCCTACATCAAATTTGGTATCAGAGCCCAAAATCCTACATCCAATCGCCACTAAAATTGAAAGCAAAATCTACGACAGTCACAAATTGAAGGCAAGTCCGTGACATTCACCACGCAGCCATTCTGTACATGCAACCAATCTGCTGCCACTCCTGTCACCCTCTCCAACAAACCACCAATTCAAACAGCAGCAACAAACCACAAATTAATCACCCACCTTCACCCTAACCGTAAGCTACAACACCTTCCACCCTACATCACCCACCTTCGCCCAACCCACTTGCTGCAACACCAACGCACACCCAACAAAAAAATACATACATACATATATATATAAATAAATAAATAAA